CATTTTTCTTCAGATGAAACGCGAAGTGGATGGAAAATCGAATATGCTCTTTTGTAATTGCCATCGTGAACACTACTGATTTTTGAGGTTATGTGCATCAAACGCCAAACCGTATCGCATTTCAGGAGGTTAAATGTTACTGTTTTAAAACCCCAAAAGGGCGGGAAGATATATAAAATTTAAATTGTTATTTCGGTTGTATCAAATCTAAAGCTCAGAACTTTTTTGTACACATTATAAATGTAATTGTGAAACAAATATTTTTGTCTTGGAATGTCTATATAATAAATATTTATTTTATAATTGTTTTAAAATATTTTTTATCAAGTATTTCTTTTGCACTCTCTCTTTTTCGCTCTCATAAGTACATTGACTCTCTAAATATTTAATTGATAAATTTATAATTAAATATGATTCAAGTTTGTCACGTGTAAGTGATCAGGATTACTTAGGTGAAAAAATTTACATTCATCATAAAAACATGACTGTAACTTTTGAATATTTTTTATGGAAATACTGTGCAAGTGAAATGTGTATTTATAACGTGATTCAGTCAAATTAAGATACGCTGTACTTTCATCAAAGTTTATATTGAAACTGCAGAAATACGTATCGAAATTTATTTTTTTGAGGAAAGATAAAATTGAATCCTCTTTATTAAATTTTTTGAGCGATAAGTTAGATTTGATCCTCCTATTGCATCTTATAATGTGGCAGTTTTCGTTAGTGCATGTATCGCTGACAACTCTTAAAATCATGGTTTTACGACATCTGTCTACAACCTCTGCAAAATATATAATGTAAAATTTAAGTTTTTTTTACATCTACATAGTACATAAATTCTAATACTTACCAATATAACACGGTGCAGTATTAAATATTATATTTGTCGGGCTTATCTCCAAATTGTTACGTTTAAAAAGTTTATCTATTTTAGATACCACTTTCCATGTATTTATATTCGAAAAGTAGACGTAAATTTTACTTTTCATACCTGTACAAACATTTTATAAAGTTTTATTTGTATAGTGAATGTATAAATTTTTATAGTGAAAAATTTTTATAGTGAATTAAATTTGTATAGTGAATATGAACACTTTTCAATTTTCATAATAAGCAATAAATGTGAACAAATGTGTTCGATCTGCTGAAATGCTCTCATCAATTCTGCCAGTCTGTCAATATTCTGCTAACATTTTACTTACCATAGTTTTCATAACTTGTTTGGCCTTTATAATAATATGGCGCAATCAAATATCTACATACGATTAATTTATCGTCCAAAACGCAATGATTATAACGATCATGTATATTGAAAGGTGCGTCTGCACCCGATGTCCACAAGCCTGCACAATTAAACAAAAATCTTTAAGGACATTATTAAACTCCATTGAATTCTACATACATACTGAAACCAGCCTTAAAGGACGACCGATTGTGTGCAAGTGACAACGATGTAAGTTGAGACCTATGTTTGCCTACAATACACTACATTAAAAAAAAAGGCAAACATCCTCGACTCACACAAGTGTCTCTTGCACACTGTGCAAGACTGTGTCGCCCATTCTCCATTACATTTGCATAAAGAGGCTCATTTTAGTATGATAAAGAGCAAGATAGAATTCAAAAATATTTTCGCACCCAACTATACACATTTATGGAATATTTAAATACAAAAGCAAAAATTAACAAAGAAATACTATTTTATTTAATGACAGACAATTTTAAGACTAAATTAATAAATAATTATAAAAGCAATTTTATGATTAATCTAAAAAAATATACATCATAATCTTCTTAGAGAATTATGACATAAAGTTTAGTAAATCATTACCTGTATACTTTTCATATTGTATTAATAAAATGCATATTACATAACTGTATAATGAAATCACCTGTATAAGTATCGTAGATATCAACACTTTTGTTAGAACCGCCCACAAGAATTAATTTGTTTTTTATAAATGCAGCAATCATATCCACTCTTTCAGTTGGCATACTAAAACATTTGCAGAAATTATTTTAACAAATAACATACTATTTATTTTATTACTCTTTTCATTTATTTAAGAATGCATTAGGATACTTACGTAGTCTCAAGGAACCATTTTTTAGATATCAAGGAGTAACGCCACACATTTTTGTTATATATTTCTGTTTGAAAAAATTCTCCACCACAGAGGTAAAGATTGTACTCTAAATAAATTACATAAAATATTGAATGTGAATAAGATAATATTATTCTAGATAAAACAGAATAAAATCAAAAAAAGGCTACATACTTCTTCCAACGATTTGCATCCCATATAATATATGATTTTCATCAGTACAATATTTAAGAATATCTTCAGGATATTTAAATGAGGTAAGTTCAAAAAAATCATTACCATCCCAACAATGAATAAATTTTTCATTGTTATCAAAATGAATGTTTTCAGAAGATATAACACTGTTTAGTATTTTTGTTTCCTTATTCTTTAAAATTTCTAAAGGAATTGTAAAATCCTGAAAAGAATTGATTTCATTACATAGAATTCTAAATGGTCAAGAATAAACTTTATTATACAGAATTATAATATATTAATATGCACACACACGCACCCACATACGCACACATAATAGAATATAATATAATGTAAATAGGCATAGTGTTTTTGCACATATTTATTGCCACAGCCAATTAGAATTTAGCCCTTTATTCGTTTATTCTTCGGCGGTAATATAAACTAATTTAAAATCTGATAATTAAAATACTAAACTTTACTTAGTTCTATTTGGAAATTATAAAATTTATGATATACCATGTTTCATATTATTATTTCACAGACTCTATACCTATATACCACTACATATGTATATATTACACTGCAAACTTCTTAGCATAAACTTATGAAAAATTGGCTCGTAATGAATATAGCGGTGCTGTGCATACGTCAAATGTTAAGCCGAAAGAATGCAATATTATGACTACATCCTACCTACCATGTGGTATCGTGGACTTTTGGCAAACATTATTTTAGGTTCCTTTCATGATAGTGCCTAATAGAATATGTTGAATGCTTTTCATTTGGTCACACAAGTGTTACAAGCATCCTTTTTATCATTAGGTTATTTGTAATTATATTATATTATTAATCTCAAATAATTGATTTTTATTATATTACTTACAATACATGTAATTACCGTTTTATATTTTACGTTTTTATAATTTTTATTCTTATGTGTAGCTATGTATAGTTATGTTCTCGAAAGTTATTCTTAATAGTCAAAACGGTTTTCACATTTTCCGATTATCTGACTCATAGAATATGGCTACATCCAATAATACGTGGATACAAATCATTTTATTTCAACAAGAAGTATTGTATTCTGTTGACAAGTTATTAGGAGTGTCATATTGACTGGGATTTTATTATAAGAAACGCGAGAGAATAATTGTAAAAGTATTTCTTATTTTTACTGTTTAATTTAGTTTGCAAATGTTTTGTTGTAATTAATTTTAATTTCTACATTAAGAATAATCCAGAAAGAATCAAAACGTTCATGATTAGGTGTATATGTATGGAAAATGAATAATTAGCAGTCAACATTCATCTTAGTTCATAGCTCTTATATTACATCGTTTATTTTTTTATCGTTGTCGATATTCAGTAAGTAATAAATATAGAACAATATTTGTATCGACTTGTGTCTACAAATGAAAAATACTCCATGTCGAATTGCATCATGAATATAATAATATATATTTTAAAAACAAAATAATACAATTAAACAAATCTATATGTTTAACTTGTTAACATAAAATTCAACAATACAATTCCATGATTAATATAATAACATTTTCTCTTGGTTGCACAAGTGCATCCTGAGTGCATATTAAAACCATTATACATTTATTATGTATAACTAAGTGTGTAAAAGTATAAGTACTAATATAATCTTAAATATGAAATAAAATTAGAATTATTGGAAAATGTAGATAAATATTTATACAAAAATACAAATTTAGAAAGATTTATGATGCATAGGACATTATTTCTTTTTCACATAAATATCCATATTAAAAACAAAATAATACTTTTTTAAAAAGTTATTTTGTCATCTTTTAAATTCTATGTAAAAATTTCGATAACAGAGATTTTAGTCCGGTATATTGCATAAATCATTTTAACTTCTTTATTTTCTTAATTTTGATCTCAAATTCTTTTTTAGGAATCACAAATATACCTATACACTAAATTTTTGGAAATTGACTTTTTTTCTGCTTCCAAAAACACATTTTATCCAAACATTCTGCTGCTCAAGGAGAAGCTTAAGTGGCATTTCTCGTATTTAGGAGATTTACTAATTTAATTTTTAAAGTTTTACTTTTGTAAATAATATGCTTGTACTTACATTATGGTGCTTCATCCATTTATTTGTGACTTCAATTAAATAAGATGGCGTGGATGTTATATTGATATTCCCAATTAATTTAAGCAAATTATCCTTCGACAGCTCATAAATTGAATTAAGTGGTAGATCATCGAAACGATCTAAGCAAAATGCGAATGAAACATCTCGGAGGATATTTAAATTCAATTCTTGTGATAATAACCATATATCAATTACAAATTTTGGTGGCATAAAATATAATTTTTCCTCTATTTTATAGATTAAGTATTCTATTAGATTATTTACTCCAAATATAATACTTAATTCTAGTAGGCTAAAGAGCCGATTACATTTTTCAATATTCCAATTATTTGTAAAGATATCAATTTCGTCATTGTGAATCCAATCAACGAAATCCTATAAAAATAATAATTGTTTTTAAATTGCAGTTGTGCAATCGGATCTATACATATGACTATGTAATTTCTGTATACATGCATAATATAGAATAATATCTCAAAAAATATAAAAGATATAGAAAAACATTTGCAAAATCGATTGAAGGGATATATCTTTTGTAAAAATTTTTCTCAAGATTTTCATACTAATTAAGACATTTTTTACTAAAAATTGAGAAAATTTTGAAGCATTGTGTAAAAGTAGTTCACACAACTATTTTTTGTTCTAAATATAATTTTATAAAAGAACTAGGTAACTAGGAGCTAATACACAGTTGTTGTTCGTGTACGTTGACGAATCTTTTTTATTCTTCCATTCTATATACATTAGATATGTATGTAGAGTGGAAAAATAAAGAAGATTTGTTAACGTACATGAACAACAATTGTGTATTAGCTCTTAGTTGCCTAGTTTTTTGTAACATTATCTTTAATTTAAAGAGCTCAATTAATTTTTACTATTATCTTTTGTTCGTGTAAAATTATGGTTGTTAGGAATAAAACTTTCTTGAAATATCGTTTTTTTTCTTTCGGAGCAAATATTGTCAAAACTGTATATATTTTCCCTGCAGTAATTTCCCTTGTAAAAAAACTTTCTCTATTTCCTCTTAGAAGTTTTCATATATGTGCAAAATTTTGAAATATTTAAAAAATTCTCATTTTGCAATTTCTAGAAAAATAAGTTAAACTTTTTTAAATTTTATATTTCTTCTTAGATTAATAAAATAAAAAAATCTTAGAAACCCTAGAATATTTCAGAATTTATATATATGACGAATTCTAAAAGTGATAAACAGTGAATTTTTGACGATCTCCGATAGCAAGATTAGACGCGGCATTGCACCATTCATTTCTCTGTTAAAGCGAGTTTAAATAATCCAGAGACCAAGTACGCTGAATGAAACACATGAGTTGCCATTGCAAAAGTCTATTCGAATCGATTGTAACCACAGATTCTTCCAGGACAGATACGAGTAATCGCAACCTATCAAAAAATGGCACAAAGAGAGTATGGCCAAATCACTAATTAGGTCATCGTTAAGCACAATAACAAAACGAATTCAGAAAGAACTATTATATATACGAATATATTATATACACGAATTAAGGCTTCTATTTGATAGAGAAATGTCACGAATTCGTCCCGAAAAAGCGTATACGACCCGACGATTCTCTTTTGATGCGTTTGAAAGTTTTTAATTCCGACCTCTTACAGGTCTCCAAAATTAGGCGCAGCTGAAGGAGTAAAATACGTTCCTCTTCCTTTTATGATAAGTCACTCTCCAATTGTTAACTTAAATATATCAATAAGAATCTGATATAATGCATGTCCCAATTTTAGAATTTCTTTCTTATCATATTTACAACAAAACTCTTGCACTCAAGTTTGAATTCGTTAGTGACTGTCTATATTGAAAAGAAGGATGTGTCATAACTTTAGAAGAATGTTATATCACTAATGACACCAAAAAAAGTCGAAACATTCGAACAACTAGTGTATCTGATAGATCAAAATTACATTACTTCTATCGCTGTCACTATTTTCCAGTAAAAAATTGTTCATACATGAATATTTATAAATATGTATAAACATACATAAATATTCATGAATATGTACTCGTATTAATACATACAAAATATGTCCATATCTGTTCATACATCTCTATTTTTTTTGTAAAATTACCATTTGGTAATAAAAATAATAATAGTAATGTGAAAACATTAAAAATAATTAAAGGGATTTTTGCATTGTTCGTTTTAGAAAAAAATAAGTTCCCAAAAATTAAAAAAGAAATTGTTCATACACAATTATGCATAATTTTCTAAAATTATACATAAATAATTTTTTTACATTTCTTTAACTTTTATTTTTCTTTTTCTAAAACAAATAGCATGAAAATTGTCCTTTCAATTATTTTTAATGTTTTCACTGCTATTTACACTAAAAATAATTTTACAAAAAAAAAGGCATATTTCATGTACGATTATACATGTTTATGAACATTTATGTGTGTTTACATATTTATACATACTTATATTACATATTTATACATATTTATACATATGCATGAAAAATTGTTTACCGGGTTGTTTGCATTGTGTCCGGGGCTTTATTCGTAAACAAGAATTATCTAAGGGAGAGAATATAAAGAACGCAGCACTTCGTCTGTGAAGTAAGTCCCAAAATTGAATTTCAAGGTGGAAGTACATTAATGTCCGTTTCCACCAATGTAGATTAAACTTTAATCTCGGTTCAACTTACTCTTTTTCTAGTTCTAAAGATTACAAAAGACGAAGAGAAAGACTTGAACCGAGATTAAAGTTAACATTGGTGAAAATGGGCATAAATGTGTTTTTCAAAGTAAAATTTTGTTTAGAAACTAATTCACGGACAAATCCAGCTAATGCTAAATATTCAAATGGTCATACATAATTAAGAAAATTCGATTCTGTTAAGGTTGCGCAATGGGTTGGGAATCAACAACGAAAGAAATAACACGCTGAGATACCGAAAAATACAAGAAGCGTAAAGAGAAAACGACCGACGCGTACGAATGTCGCCAACGCTCTGAAAAGACAAAAAAAGGAGCTCTGAAAAAACAAAAAGGGAGCGCGGCCGCTGTGTTAAATTGCCGGCGCGAGAGGGCGCTGTAGAACACGGATCGGTTCGCGGTAGTATCGCGCTAAGAGAAACTGATTATTTCCAACAGATTCGTATTACTAATATTCCGAATTAGTAAAGAATGTCGTAACAGAATCGTAACAGAATTGTAACAGAATGTACAAATTGCAAATGCAATGTTAAATGTGTTTTCCAAAGTAAAATTTTGTTTCAAACAACTGATTCAAGTACGACTTGACTTCAAATTTAAAGAAAATTAAAATTTTGCGAAATATATATGGTATAAAACATTCTCGAAATATACATATTGTGTTATATTACAGTTATCTTGTTGAGCTGACATTTCATGTTACATATACGTTACATGTAATATTGTATTTACTGGGATGTTCATATATATAATATTTTTCCCGGGTAATTCGCTATGTTTTTTAGTTGACATGAATTGTTGCTGATGTACGATAAATGTATAATAAATTACCGATAAGTGAAAATAAATAGATAAAAAAATTATTTTATAAATTTTTAAATAGGTGACATTATTTTCATGATATAGTAATTCATTGTGGCAATTAATTAAAATACTCGTATACTCATTCGGCGCGTTTTCACTCAAAATGAAAGAATCTGACAGAAAAACGCGGCGACCGGCCTTGTGAATCCTTACCATCTTATAATTATCTATTTTCTAAATAAATATTTTAAAATATAGCGAAACTAAAATAATCCCAACAATTCGCAGTATAAAACGTGTAGTTTATTATTATAAATTGCATGGTTCATTATACACACACCCCTTGTATACAATGAATCATTTCCCATTTTTTGAAATAATCAAAATTGTGACTAAACTTAAAAAATAATTTAAAGATTATTGCTTACTGTATGTGTATCCAACTAAATTCATAAACTGTATGCCAAAACTGAGATCTTCAACTCAATCATTGAGAGAGATCTATTGTGTGATTCAGCAAGAATAGCAGGACAAAAATTACCATTATGGAGAAGACCAGGCTTCGATTCGATTCGATTATTACTTACACTTTTATTAAAATTTAGGTGAGAGCAGAGACCATATTTTAAATAATTACCACAATGAATTATTATTTTGAAAGTTATCGTAAAAAAGTTACTTAATCTTAGATTATCTAATCTTAGATTATCTACAGTAATCCATGATTCATTGTTCACTACGTTAAAATGATTCATTGTAGACTACCTAACCTTTTCCACGATAATCTCCAAAATAATGTAGGAAAATAATACAACAGAAAAAAGTTGCTTACTCAATAATAAAATCTAATCTGCATACAAAATTAATGCACAATGAAAAAAATGATAGGTATAACAACAAAAACATAAAAAATGCGTAAAACTTACTAAAAATACTTACTTTACAATCCAAAATTCTTAGAATATAATATTACATGGCCATCTACCAATCGACTGGGGAGCCGAGAAAGGATTCAAATGTGAATCGCTGCATGATATAGCACAATCTGGGCTACATTTCAAAACTTCCTCTCCGAGTAAAATTTTACTCAGAATATATAGTACACGTAACGTATACTATAGAAAATAGAGTAAATCTTCCTCGGAGAGGAAGTTTTGGAATGTAGCCCAGATTGTGCTATCACGTAGCCCTGACAAAGTCGCATTTACGAAATATCACAATGGTTCATAATGTACTAATGCATAAATACGTCTACTAAACTAATAAATCATAAAATTAGTACAATATTATCAATTTTTAACTTTAAATTATTTCAATATTTGCAAGGACGCAAACTCCCGTAAGGATGTCTTTAATAGTATCTGTGATTATATATATAGTAATATCCAGAGCCCGGACACAGTGAAAAATGACAATAAAATCGATGTCGAATCGCCATCTATTCGACGTTGATTTGATGATTCCGGCATCGAATCGACATCGATTCAATGTCGACTCCATTATCATTTCTCACAGGGGATTATCCGCCGACCGATTCGAGTCGATCGTAGCGCATTTTTCATGATTCTCACTGCCACTCGCCAAAATCCGTAGTGAGCGACCGGCGGAGCGACAACGTTACAGCGTTAAGAGATGAGATGTAGTGGGGGCACTTAGCTATGGTGCTACTAGAGAGAATTAAGGGAGAATGGAGCAGATAGCATTCTCTTCTCTGATTGTGACTCCGCCTGACTAGTTTACATTTATATTAAATATATATAATCATCATCACCATATGAAATTATGAATAATCAAATATAATCATATATAAGTTATACATAATAATACATATTATTATGTATACATAATAATATATATTATACATGACCACGTGTAAAATTTGTTTACTGGGATATAATCTTTATTCAAAATATTCTTCTATATCTATTTTATTTTTAAACATTTTAATAGTAACAAGAATTACTTCTATTAAAATTTACTTACTTGAAATGAAATTGAAAGAATATTGTAATATTCAATAATATGTTCCTTCTGACGATATTCTAAATAATTTTCAGACAAAAGAGCAGCAAAGTACTGACTCTTGCTGATTAATTTTTGCTTATCAACTTCAAATCTTTTCTTTTTTAGAATCAATATCACTGTATCACGCGGTTTCTCAATTTCCTGGCTCTTATTTTCCATTCTAAAATCAATACGATAAATATACTTATCTTTAAAAAAAACTTTTACGAAAAAGTACAGAAAAACTACGTAGATTAAGAAAAGAGCTTAAAAATTCTTAAATTTTTGTAGATATTCGTAGAGTGGAGTTGTTTAAGAGCGGAAAATTTCTTGGTTTTTCAAACAACGCCACTCTACGTACCATTATAAATATTTATTAAAAAACTACGAATTTCTAAGATATTATCTCAAGCTATGTAGTTGTTCATAAAAAATTTTCAAAAGGGTACTAAACATATAAACATATAAATTATTAGCGCTACTCACTTTTATTCAAGATTTTTCACTCGACACGTGGCTTCAGTATGTGTACACTTTCTCGAGTCTTTATCACAATTGAGTTAAAATGGTCAGCACGAGGCAAGGTCGGTGTGAAAACTGACCTGCACATTAGGGTTCGGAAAATATTCTAGATATTGTATCTAGTGTCGATACAAAAAGATACTGGTCTATGTATCGATATTTATCGATACTTCCCCAAAACTTCTGGTTTTATTTACAATTTCCTTACAATAAATTTACATTAAAATGTAATATATTATATATTTGTATTATATATTTATTTTTATCACAAGATATATATTTCTGTGTAGACAAATTTATCTTTTAAGTTTTATCATTAAGGGTGTAATCGAGTTGCCACTACGGATGCTTCAAAGCATTTGATTAACCAATTGGAAGAAAGAATCTTACTAACTGACCAATCAAAAAATGCTTCGAAGCGTTCGTAGTGGCAATTTGTTCGCACCCTAAATTACAAAAATAAAAAGGTTTTTAAATAGAATTTAAAAACAAACAGAAATTAATTAATCTGCTTATCTGATAATATCATAAGAAGGAAACAAATAATATTTTATAATTATTTTACTAGTTCTATCTACCAGTCTTTGTAAATAACATATAAAATATATTGTGGGGTCTATCTACAATAGAAGTCGTAGCGGTTGTTTAGTCTTAAGAAAATTCTAAAGTGAAGCTCGAACCCTGATGAAATCGCTGTTTTACCGATAAAATGCGACACAGCGATATATCTTTATATGTATACTACTACATCAATATTGCCTATACAAATTCTCTAATTAATTATTCGTTCGTACTAAGTCTAACCAAAACCTAATTCTAAGTACTAAACATTAATTGTAATCTCTAGTTCAAAACAAGATTGTTTTATGCGTACAAAGTATAAAACTTGTATATAAAGCAAACATTGTTACGAGTCGACGTTAAAAATCGGTAACAATACTAATAATTTTCAAACTTTTTTTCATTTTTGGCATAAAATCGACCAATTTGGACTACATTATCGTTTATATATTAATCATGAAGGATGATTTTTTAATCTGTAAAGGCAGTTAGAAAAAAACTTGTTTGGAAAAATTGATAAAACAGATTTACTTTAGAATCCTCTTAAGTCATAGAAAACCAATCATAGTTGAATATAAGAAAAATAATCGACTATCATTGGTCAATTTTCTACGAATTAAGACCCTATGACCGCTACAACTTCTATTGTAGACTCCGCATATGTTTATTTTAAAGGAGATCAGAGATGTAATATGTACCTATTTAAAAGGAAATGAGGTACACTATTTTTTAAGCAATATCAATACTTCGAACGATCTCAAAAAGCGAATTGATACATACTTATATCAGAAATATATCGATATTGGATCGATATTCATATCGATCTTTTCGAATACTATTGCACATTGGATGCAATGAGTTATGAGCGACGGGCGATATTCAATAAGAGCATCTTCTACTAAGCTTTCTTAAGACTTAAAGCTTAAAACATCTATTGTAAATCCGGGTTTAACCGTGCGACAGAAATATCAGCCGGGTGCCATTAACTGACAAGAAAAAAAAAATATTTTTTTCAATCAATCTCTTAGTTTAAAAGCTTTCATTTTATGCCAAAAGAACACCCCTAAATTTTTATCAAAAAATATTAAAATTTAGAAGTCGCTAGTAAACGATTTTTAAATTAAAGTTTTGATTTTTCTTAGTACATGTTTGATTTGATGCAAATATGTCTTAAGTCGAATTTTAAATGTGATACTATATGTTTTTTGGTCACTGAACACGATGAAATAATTCATTTAATCCTACGATATATGCCTTAAGAAATATAGCCTGATTAATGTGAAAAAAATGACCAAATTTTTTAATTCAAGATCGATTTTAGCAAGATTCCAAGCGTTCAAATGAGTCATTACTTCCCTCTGTTTGTAGATCTGTTCACCCAGAACAAGATCCAGTTAAAATTTTTCCGGAACCTTTTACAGGACCTTTAAAAATTGCATTTAACTGGATTATAAAATGTTTTTAAGGATAGAAAAAATTTTTCTACAAGTTCTAAAGTACATCGCTTTTTGACATCTTGAAATCAAATGTCTCAATTTAACAATAAAAACTTTATTAAAAAATGAATACATAATAAAAAAAATATATATTGCCCGGTCGGATTTATAGGTCGTGTCAATTATGTGTGTATGTGCGCGCATGCTGCGTATGTCTCTATCTCCTCTTCTCTCTTTCTCTTTTCCTCTCCCACACAATTACCTTTGATTGTAAAGTTTACTTAAAATACTAATATTAAACAAAAGTCAGTGATCTAGTAAAAAATTTTTAAAAAGGGTAAAACAGGTTAAATTATTATTAGTATATCAATATAAATTATAAATTAAAACCGACGCTTCAGGACCACCTTTTTCTATTAACGTAATTTAAATATATCATGCATCATAATCATACATCATATAATCATACTTTTCTAATAACACAAATTTATAAATTAATAAATTTTTCGTTGTGTCGGTAAAATGCTGACATATGATAAATTGGTAAGTCATCCAATAGACATACATTCAAGTAAAAAAATTGACTTTAATGAGATTTTTTTACATACAGAAGCTGAATAAAAACTGATGTCTCCGCTTCTCATCTTAATAAAAGAATGGTGTCATACTATCTAGTATCTATATCAAACCGTTATACAAATAGGTCATCAAATCTGTCGTTGTTCAACGAAAGTCAATGATCATAAATTAAAAATTAATTTTAGTATATATATTAATCTATTATACTAACAGAAAAACAATTTTAGCAGACAAGAGTCTTCTGTATACATATATTTATTTATTATTGTTATTCCGAATAGATTCTAATAAGATAAAATAAGATTCGTCAAAACTCTCTGTCAAGCTCTATATATGTACTTCTTTGTGAATTAATCTTCTATTTGTTCTTTAATATTTCTTTAAGCTTTCCCGAAATTCTCCTTATATTATAGTTAGTTTTATCTAAAATTTATCTAAAATTTTAGTGTTTTGCCAATCTAATGAATGATTATAATTCAACATATGTTTTGTAATGACGGAGTGTCTAGACGGATTACATCTGATATTATTTCTGTATTCATTGACTCGAGTTCCAAGTTCTTTCTTTGTATTTTCCACATATAAAACATTGCAATCATTACAACTTATTTTATAAACCACATTTTAAATGAAAAATTTATTCAATTTATCTTTATGTATTTTAATAAAAAACATCAATTTGTTTAAGCATCTATATTCTCTTGTAATGGTGGCTTTTATTAATAAAGGACATGACAGTATTTGTTACACACACACACGCGCGCGCGCGTGCGCACATACACACACACACACACACACACACAAATGATAAAATAAATTTTTTTTTATTTTACCGAAAATCAATAATTATTATATATATAAAAATAAATAAATATATGAATGCTATACAATTTAAAAAAATATATAACATCAAATTATTCTTTAGCATTTTTTCAATACTTGCTAAGTATTGAATGCCCGGCAGTCAAAATTTATCATGAAATTACTAAAATATGCTTTGCTTATAAAATGTTTTCGTGCTCGCGACTTACATATGAGAAATCTGTTTTCACTTTTTAGTAACAACCGCATATTTTGATTCCTCCACTTCAACAAATCTCTCTATAAGTACGAAGAGCGATGATTGTGCTCAAGAGATGTAAAGCCGTATTTACCAGGCCGCAAATCTAGATAACAATTAAAGTAATATTTATATAACAGTGGTATTTATATAATAAGATCTGCATAAATAATTGCGTAAGTAATCTGCACAAGTAATGTTTATTTAAACGGGTCAAATCTAACAAATCACCTTTTACGATTTTGATATTCTTGCTAAGAAAAAAATTTACTAGAAATTGACAAAAATGATTAAAATTCTTTAGATAAAATATGATTCATTAGACATTTTGTCAGATAATATTTATATTGTATAAGTTTTCTAAAAGATATCTTTTAGACATTCTATGTCTTAAAGGTCTCTAAAAGACATACATGTTATCTGGGTTGTAACACAATTATATACAGGTTAATAGAAACGACATGTAACGTTATTACTACCGTTATCATTACTTTTTTATAATAACGTTTAATAATAATAATTTTTTATAACAATAATGTCATAGTCGGAATTTTATGCGTTATGTAACAAGTAAGTTAACGAGTTACTTTTTTCAATGAGAAACGCATAATAGTAAAGTTATTTTCAAAAGCGACTATCCCAATCCTGGTGTCATAAAAAAAACATAATGTCATTACCAAATCATTATTATAAAAAAATAACAGTAACAGTAATGGTAATGACATTATACGTAACGCGTTACTTGCCATTCTTGTAAATTAATTATACGAATTAAATAATATTATAATTATTAAATAATTATTAACATTATAATTCTATATTTTATAGCATTATACATACGGAAGCACCAAATAACAGCTCATAACCTCTGGAACGTTTACTATTATTATGGATGTTTACCAAGAGTGTCAATGAGGCCGCAAGTATCAATCCAAATGCAACGGCATAATAAAGAAATTCCTAAAAGTATCAAAAATTATGTTAATCAATAACATATCGTTTAAATTATTATGGAAATATTTTTTCTTAATTTTCACGTTTTTAATATTATTTAAATAACTTTTGACATTTAAAAATATTTTTCTTACAGCTTATAAAAAAAAGTATGCATATTTACTTACAAGAAATTCAAATAAAATACAGACAACAGATTATGTAAATTATATTTAAAAATTTAAGTTATGTATAATTTAAATCATATAAAATATAATTACAATTTTACATATACATTTTTTATTTTTGTACTTACATAGATAGTTTTCGGTATAGTCTTTGCAGTATAGAGAGACGCCAGATAACTGAGAAGAAGAATGAAAGTGCTAATCATGAAAGTAGTCGTTATCAGAAGAAAGAAAAGCTCTGCAGTATTTCGAGAAACTATACTGCTATTAAATTCGTAACCAACAATTCCTATGCAAACTATGCCCAGTGCCTGTTAGTAAAAATATGAAAATATTTCAGATTAGACACAGATATAATTTTCGTACATAAAAATTAATTGATAAAAATGTATATATGTATAATTGTATATATGTACAATTATTGTATATAATTTTATATGATACTGCATAACGCTTATACAATAATTATACATATAAATTTCTGATTACATATTTATATATCATAATAATTCACATATGTATATTCATATATGTATATGTACATGACTTCTTATAGTTTAAACATAATTTTTATAATCATCTATAAGACATCTATCATAACTTGTCATACGTATTTATGTACATATAAAAGGTAATACTTTATTTTATCAATGTATATATTTATAATATTTTATTTTTCAGGAAGTTTTAATTATAAAACAATCGTAACATATATAAACCGATCAAACTAATTTTTTTTTATTGTAAGGATGTACCTACCTCAGTAACATATATTTATTTTGTATACGTTTCTTAAACAATTATAGAACATTAAATACATAAATTTTGCATTAATATCTGTCATTATAATATCTACATTTTGGTTTAGTTTGATTTCATTAACTTCTTAAAAATGATCGTAATAAAGATCAAAACTGTGTCTATGACTTAATTTATGAATTTATCAATTATTCTCCGCCAGTAACGTTGAATTTTATAGTCGATTTTTTATTGTGAATTCTGACGAATAAATTGAAATTTATAAAAAATATAATCTAACTTCTATGATAGTAAAACGTTGTTGTTGAAACTTTCACAAGTATGTAAGAATTACATTTTTCAAATTTTTATACGGTGCGAAACAATGTAAAAATCTGTATTGAAATTCGAAGACCAGTTACCGACAAAGAGTGAAAATTTTCATTACCGATGAAGGCTTAATATATAACATTTATTAGCACGAAAAATCTGCTTCACTTATTTAATTTCTTTTAAAGTACAATTTATGTACAATTTATATAGTAATTTATTAAAATTATTATTCTAATGAAAAATTATCGCTACTATAATTAATTTAAAAAAACTGTTTTGCATTAAAAAATAATAATGAATGCTTGAAGTAATTAAGAAATATATTAATAATGACTTAAGTAAAGAATTAAATATATAAAATAATAATGAGGCGCATACCAATTGTAACATCTTTAAAAAACCGCTCCAACTTTTCAAGTAACCGGTATTGATGACAATCGCAGTCGATCTAGTCACCACTGTTTGCGATCTAATCGTCATTGAACGAGACATCTTTTACTAGTTTTAATGTCAGTTCTGAAATCAAACATAATTGTTCTCCATTTCCTATCGTTATTTATAAAGATTCCATTTAATATGCGTAAGCGGGAACATTTACTTGCGTCAAATAAGACAGAGTCAAGATTTCGAGATGTGACCTACATTGAGAGAAAATCCTCACAGTTTTTTCATGAAAACAGAAATATGTATTTTTATTTTTCCTCTTTTCGAAAATTCGAAATTTGTATGCCTTTGCAAGAAAGTTATATGTCCCTACATATATGTATATCTCTAGCTATGTATCTATATTATATATAGATATATATATATGTACGTACGTATGTAAACATATATATAATATACATACATATACATGTTGGAAATAATTATAAGATTTGATTTGTAAAAAATTAATAAAAATTTTTCAAAAACATTTAATTTCGATAAATAAAATTAATTCAATATTTAATTGCATGCTTCAAAATGGATGAAACGCACATAAACGAAAACATTCCTATTATAAGATATTCTTTGATAGTCCGAAACATTCAGACACACCCATTAAGTTGCCTGATCGATAGTGCGTAGACCGAATTTACTTTCTCTCATTGAAGAGACGCCATAAATACAATAATAGAGAAAATATTTTAATTGTAAATACTAGTTTCTATAATTTTTATTGAATTTCACTTTATCTAATTGAATTATATTTTGATGAAATTAGCTGTTATCTTCTTAATGTAATAATTATATTAAATTTAATATACATAATAATTATGATAACGCCACATACATCTTCACAAATGATGAATAAATTGAATTTAATATATGATTATACAAGATTAGAACTTTTAGTATAAAAAGTATTTATGTCAATATATTTTTCTGATAAAGAAAATAAAAAACTGAAATAATTTATTAATAAGAATTACATCAAAATAAAAGATATTTTTTTATATCTTGTTTCTATTAATTGCGATAACTTTATTTTTATTATTAATATTATTATTCAAACATTTATAAGTGAAAATGTAAATTGTAAAATATAAACATAAAATAAACTATAAAATATAAATATAAAATAAATATAAAATAATTTTTTATGCAAAATATGACGATCCATCATATTATCTATCATAAATAAATATAAGATGTATATAACAATTATTTAAAAATACTGAATGGAAAGAATTGTGGCTTGCATTACATATAATATTTTATGTTTACAATATTATAAATAAACATTAAAATCTAACTTGTAATCAAAAACGTAATCTCTTCGTATTTTTTAAAAAGATTATGCATGCACTTTTCAAATTTCAAAATAATTTCACATACAAAATACTTCGATGTAATAACATATGTAGGAAGAAAAATAATGTTTACAAGTTTATACTAGCATATAAAGGTAGGACAAATAATGTTTATACTGCGATATAAACATGAGAAATATTAAAGTCAGTCATGTGAAAATTTGGCGTCACCCGTGTTACGAACAAGCAACCGTTCGCTTACGCATGGGTTATTTTTAAATATCTAGAATACACACAAAAGACGTGAGTTAAAAATTTATCGAAGCAACCGATTAGAACTGAAATCTGTCAATTTATCCGATAAATTCTCTTGTTAATGTTTCCTAGAAAAGGTTTCGTAAAATATCATCACTGATTATATTTTATCTATAATATATAATACATTGCTCATATTTTCCAAATTATTAATTAGTTCTTCAAATTACTAAAATACTTATGTTACGTAAAGTTTAAACCATGTTATCTCTCTTACTAATTTTATTAAAAATAAAAAAAACTTTGAGTTACATAAAACAACGTAGCAATTTAACGTACAAATCACATATTAATTATATCAACAAATACGCTGCATAAAGTGCGATTTTTTGCCTTTATATTCTATATAAAAAATATGAAATTGCGTTTAATAAATAAGAATAAAAATTTTTTGAACTTCCTTGACAGTGTAAGAAAAGTTCGTTGCTACGTTAATATTACAAATATATTTGTGGAAGTTTAGATTCTAATTATTATCGAATTATTATAATTTTCAAATATTATTTTTTACATGTAAAATTATTCAATTTATAACAACCGGATAAATAAATTATTCAGCGGAATTGAATGAAAAATTAGATTGATGTACAACCGAATAATGAATAATTAATCAAAACGTGCTTAGTCAAGAATATAAAAAATTATACATGCCATATAAAGGTTACACTAACTTGAAAATACGTTGTTACGCACTAACTGTCAGCGACTTCCTTTTTTTTGTGTGTGGCACTCGCAGGTTCGCAGGCTGTCGCCTGCGATACGGCCAGTATTCAATGTGGACTGTCAGCGACTGACTGGAGAGTTGCGTTTTAAACGAGAAACCAAAGATGACGTCATTGGTGGTATTACGTCATTGGTGATACATCCACACATTTTTAGACAATACGTGTGTATATATACTCGATATAAATACACCGCGATTCTTAATGAGGCAAGATAAATAAACATATCGAAGATAGCCTTTTTAACGGAAATAATTTAATAAACGAAGAATATGAAATAACGAATGCGTGATAAAGCGTTTAGTATTGTTCACAACGACATGCCAATGTAATGCATTAATTTGCATCTTGCTATATATTTTTATATAACTCTTTTTACATTTATATCCAATGTAATGTAAAAAAAAATGGAAATTGTTTATATAAAAACTGTCTATATACAAAAATTAATCTTAGAATCCCAGCAAATGATTGAAATGAATTAAAATGGATTCAGATTTTCAGAAATATTCACGAATGTTAAAATGAATGCTTTTCAATCTTGAATGCATTTTTATTCATTTATAGGAATTGCATGGAGCATATCTCTATGCCTTTCTATCTAAAAATAATATTAGCTTTTTCTATGCACAGACAACACATTATGAACACTGTTCAATTCAAAATTTTGAATAGGAAATGCAGTTTTTCAATCCAATTGCATCCAATTGAATCCAATTAAATCCAAAAAAAAGTATTCGCTATTTCAAATATGCATTCGGATAGAAAAAAATTTTAATCCATTCTCGTTTGCTGGGATACTATTAATACCTTATACACATATATATAAATGAACAAGGCTATTGCGTTAAGTTACACGGAAACACAACGATATATTTTTCTGAAATATAATATTAAAAAATTTAATTGGATATAAATCTGAAAATAATTTTGTTGGACCATCATATAAGTATATTTCTACATAATTATGTAGAAATGTATTTATGTAATAATTATACATTTAGCTAAATTTTTAGATATTTAAATAAGTTTTTTTTACATATACTTTCAATAATCATTAGGAGATCCAAATCCGCCATGCTAAAAATTAGAATAAGCAGAGACAAGCTTTCAGAAATTCTATTCATTATATAGAGAGTCAATTTGGACTTTCTGATCAGTATTATAACAGAAAAAGTGATTTCAATTTTAAGCAATTGTGTGTTATTATTTTATATTATTATTATATTTTATTTAAATGTGATGAGGAGATGCTCACACACAATTGAATTGCATAATCAGTATCATTTCAAGATTTAATTTAATAGAATGCTCTTTATTCGTTTTATCTTTCTTTTTAAATTAATAATTAGGTTACTTGTGTATAAAGGTCTAAGTGACTGAAATGTATGAAAAATGTATTACATTAATTACTTGTATTACATTAATTACGTGTGACCTATTTCCTCGTACATAAAATTTATATATTAATAGCAATATATTGTATTACTCGATATCGATAGTGTTCTTTGTAGAATTAAACGTGAAACAATAATGATAAGACTTAAATTTGATATACGTCCATACTGGCAGTAATAAAGGAACACATATACTTATAATATTGGCTTTTAATTTTCCTTTATTTATATATAGCACACACATCCAAGGTTAAAAATAAATAAACTTCGAAAATTAAAAAAACTGTTTGAACGCAGATATATGTATATATATTATGTATATATCACCGCGTATGTAAATCTATTACAATGCGCGGAAAGTAGTGCTACACATAAACAAATATAACAATGTTTAGATTAACAATTTTTCGAAAGTATAATATAAATGCGTAAATGTTGACGCGGCGTGAATTGGGAAACGAATGAATGGGAGAGATAAGTGAGTGAATGCGTTCTCTCACGTTGATAATAAAAAAAGAGGTACATAATTTTAATTGTCAGCATAATGTCCACTTTTAGTTACAGTTAATCATGTCGGTGCTATCACGCTGGCAATAATGATCCGCGAATGCTACTGAAAGACGCGCAAAGGCATTTTTTAAATGTGAACTTCTTGCGTAAACATATGAAACATAACAAAAAAACGATAAATCGAACTGTAAGCTATATCCATAACCGATTTTGTCGAGACAAAAATCTCCCTTAATCCATACAAAATATATGATTTACATGAGAATGAATATAAGAATGTAAAAGAAAATTACACTGTATCCGATCTAGACAGGATATGTATATATAATATATATACTTATGTCATATTTATATATATTATGTATAAAGAAGTATATATATGTGTATGTATATAAATAAGATCTCGCGAGAGTGCGCAAGAGTACGATTAGAAAATAACGCCCTTATATCTGCACGAGAAGTTAATCCGTTAAGACAAAACGAATTGACATAATTACCGGCGAAGATCATCCAATACAGACTTCGCTAAGATAGTTTTAGATAATAAAGCAAGTCTTTGATAATTAAATTGGATTGAAAACCAACAATAGTCCTTCGGAAACTTACCGTATACTGCAGATATATTAAGATTTCTTAAAACTATTTACTTTGTCGTTAATCGAAGGATTATACGATCGAAGTGCAGTAATACAAACGAAATGACGCCAGTCTCTCATACACAATTTTACAAAATTAACTTCAGATCTATGTGCGATATTAAATACAGTAAAGACATAATTTATTTAAAATGATAAAATTATTTAATTAAAAAGTTAACGTATAAACTAATATTATAAAAATAGAGAGAATATTGTGGAAAACTAAATGATAAATATTTTCAATATAATTTAGCGACTATATAATCTTTATCTAAAGATACATACTTATTTTTTTATTAACAAGCAGATTAGATATATAATATGTAAATAACTCTTATCATGAAATTATCGGAATCTTCGTATGAAGACAATCTTTTGGCATTTAAAGTAATTTCAAAATAGATGTTGATTTTATTTCTTAAATTATTTCTGCGCTGTAATGTCAAGTAAATTACGATTTTCGCGTAGACTTTGTGAACATTATTGTCTTCAGGCAGGTATCTCGAATGTAGCACTCCGTTCGCTCCTGCGACTTCGTCAACCCTTCTCAATGCGGCACCGAATTTCGTTCTAACAACGACGACCACGACAAATAACTAATCTTAAGACACGTAGATACAGAGTCTTTTTTTAAGCTACACACGATCTGAGGAGGATCACGCCGGACTAGTTTCAAGCCGTCCCTCCCAGCGTTGACTTTCTTGCTTGAGCATGATCTTGGGAGCATGACCATGCTAAAATTTCCTTGGACGGACGCTCAGAAGTCACAGATCTAATCGCGGCAATTGTTGTTGTATGCTCTTCAGGTACCTGGCTTATCCTCTGTAGGCCGACGATGCTCATTGCGTGTTAGTGCTCTTCCATTCAACGTATAGGAAATAAGCCCCGGCGGCGTAAGCAATGGTATTGAAGATTCCAAATATCTGTAATCAACGTTGATTGTATATTTTAATGACATTGACAATTATTGTCATTGATGATTATTGATAATGATTTTCAGTTTTTAAAAGGGCATACTAGCAAGCCTCACCCCAGCAGCGATATTCGATGATGAAGCTCTGTATGCGCTCCAAGCCGATAGCTGAACGATGAATGCGATCATGTAAAGCAGAGTTTCTGAAGATGTATTTAGAAGTTCCTAAAAAATATTTGTTTTTTAATTAAACACACATCACAACTAATTTTAGATAAATTCACATATTTATGAAAAATAAAAATAAAGCTAAATACAAATATTTTTTTTAATATTGATGTTAAGTAATATGCAAATAATATGTGGACAGTGGAAAAAAAAAGACACGTGTTTCGTTTAGCAATTGCTTTTATAATTTTGTTTTTCTTTTACACTCACAGTTAGAATCCAATTGATGGGCATCTTAAGTACCTCCCGGAGGGACAGGAAGTATATGGCGCACCATATAAGTGTAGATATGAAGCATATTACCACGACAAACAGAAACCAATGCGTTGCACCTATGTACGCTGGAGACGCGCATGCCATACATATTATGCCCAGACCCTGAAAAATTATCAAACATTATCTTTGTTATCGTCACTAAGTAGCTAACATAAGCGAGAAGTTAACAATCATAATAACAGAAGTTAACAATCATAATAATAGAAACAGTATAAGCTAACACACAGTATAACTACACAGGCTAATGTTCATACGATGGTGATGACATTTTTACTATACAATTTTGTTTATATTAACATGTTATTATGGTTCATTTACGGTTCATTTGATACTACAAGTTTCAAAACATGTGTAGCGTTAAGTGAACTGCATCCTATATTTAAAGATTTTATTATTGTACAATGATCACCTACAGCTTCAACTTATCTTGACGGGAATAAAACATTTTATATGAAAAGAGTTGTGAAAAATTAAAATTTATTTTATGTTTGTACATTTGTTCATAAGTATATATATAAAGAAAAAAATTGTCACGAAAATAAATTATTTATGTCATTTTAGTCGAATTAATTTAATTATTGTAGAATTAGAAGAACAAACTTGACAGATTTTATTTTAGACAGTATAATTTAGTCTCTCAATCTTGTAAGGACTTAATTTATTCTTTTCGCACCCATATA